AGTCGAATACGAAGTTGAACAGCACTGGAGAAAGTGAGCAAGCATGACGGACTCCAGTCTTGATGACGGAAGTCTTCGTTTCTTCTCCATCGACCAGAATCCGGGCCTAGGTTTAACGACAGTATGGTCTTAACGAGATTAAACTGCATGCCAGCGGCAAGTAGGATTCTCCACAGTGCTTTAGCATAAATGAGCCAAAGGAGAACCATGGCCAGTGAAGCCTGTACCTGGACAAAAGCCCCAGTTTATGGCGAGCTCACTGATTACTCTTATTGGAAAAGCGGGAAAGCGAACTTTATGAGAAAGTTTTGACAGCCATCTCGATTAAGCTAATCCCGCGATAATTACTGCACACAGTTCAGTCACCTTTCTAGGAGAATGGCAATAGGACTGAGGTTATCCAGGAGGAAGGATAGATATCGGCTTCCGATTTTGAACGGAAGTGCTCCGGCAAATATTCAAGTAGAACCAGTAGACAAGATATTTAGCTTTTCGCTGGAATCACGTCCGCTCCGGGACCATTTTATCGGCTTCAGGCGACGGACGATCTCTGCAATTTCTGTAGGAGATGGCGGTCAGCAACGTGCATAATAACATGGCTGGGTTAATGCAGAAATGGTTGCGGTACTGTGTAGTGAGCGGTTTAGGAAGTTGCTAAAATGCTCTACTCATCTGGAAAGCTTTTCCTTTATTTTTCGGGATGAGTTGGCCTTCAAAATGCGCAATATCGGCTGTGGTGAACCTCGCTTGCCGGAAGCTAAAAGGAGGAGAAGAACGAGATGACCCAAATTGCCAGCATTTGATGTAACTTTCTTGTTGCTGCGATATCAGATTAGTAGTACTTGCGGTCATTCCGTGCTTAGTAAGTTGCCTCACATCACATGCGACGGTAGTTTGTGGCATTCGTAAGACGTGCTTCTCTCGCTTTAGCGGAAAAATGGATAGTATCTTCAGTAATCCAGTGCTTCACAAAATTAGATCTGGAGCCCATATTAGATAAAGCAGCGCGTAGAAACTGACCAATTTAGCCTAGACAAACAAGCGTCCAATAGTTTATCTTCTTCAAGTACGTGGCGTGGTGTACTGGTAAAAAGTTCTGCTTTTATTGCTGGCTTAAGGGGTCGAAAGCAGTCAATATTTTCTTGTGGGGCAGCGTTGGTACGCTTTGGTGGCAGTGCCTTTCGGCGCATTGTCAAGCAGAGTCTGATTGTGACGCGTATGATTACGTGGTCTGAACCACCTTCATTAAATGTTTCAGCCCCTCTGCACGTTAGACAGTCATCGATGGAGGGCATCCACCTGGATCGAATTAAGAGAAAATTTATCTGGATGACTGTACGACACTCGTTAGAGTACTACGTCAGAAGATGCTTCCTTGGATGTTGGAGGCCAGTATATTTTACGCACAACCGTATCGTTCAATTCGTCCTTGGCCATTTCCGCTGAGGGTAGGGTTGGTGCGTAGACGGCGATTGTGGTCAGCTTCATCGTGTAATCTTTGAAACGCCTAACTGCTTTTCTAGCTGATACCGGCGTCCTTGAAAGAAGAGTGTAGTGTGCCTTGCAACTGAGAGCCATGGTAACCCCACAATAACCAGAATTCTCTTCCGGCTCACTGTGATGAGTCGACTTTGAGGCGTCGACACTAGGGACTTTGAGTTACCGAGAGCCAACGCCGGGTATTCGATGTTCTGACAGGCATGCCATATCGATCTGATAGTCATGTAGTGTGTGCATCGTCAAAGCTTGGCTGGTGACATCAAAAAGGAATCTGACATTCAAGTATCCAATGTATAGTGGTTCCCAGGGATTGTAAGATCCTGTTAGCTTAATGGTCTCTTTGGCCACTGGGTTAGTGCAACGCGCGTCGCCTACCGGGAACGGCGTAGCATGAGAAGTACCATGGGTAGCGGACATATGTTAAATTCTCCTAGGGTTTATGGGTACGTATAAAGATTTCAAGCTCATCCGCTGTTGTTCGAGGGTTCGTCTCAAGCTTTTCACAATCAAGTGCTACTTGCGAGGTAGCAGGACTCTGGAAAATTGTTTGAACTTCCGGCGGTTGGATCAAGGGTGGATCCTTTCCACCCAGTTGTCAGGACTGACGCTGCACGATAGTGCGAAATCCCCGGAAAGAGTATTCCAGGCTGAACTCAACTGGTTTCGCTTTCATATATGACGTTCGACTGGGTCGCGGCCGCCGCGCTTTGAAGCAGATTCTTGGAGCCGCAGGTGAGAGCTAGTGAGAGTTGAATACTAAGGATAGACGACCTACGCCGGAGGGTAAATAATGTCCGCTACCAGAGGTGCAACTCAACCCTGTCACCCCGGGCAACACTGTGATTCTGGAGTGCATCACCCTATATCGCAGGGTGAAGTGACCAAAACGAAGACAATGCGGAGGGGCAACGTATACGGTGTATTTGCATTTGCTGTCCTCAAACTCCCGTCATTTTATTCCATACTCCGAATGATTAGAATTCCGCTCGTATCTCAGAAGTACATCTACTCAAGGCGAAAGCTACCTAAGCTGAGCACACGCTCATCTGAGCAACCTTTGCGCGTCATAGTGACTGGTTTAGCTTGAATATATATTAGTAGACAAACGGGTTCCACTTATTCCTGTCGTATAGTAGAACATCTTTTTGATGTTTCTCTCCGGATTCAGTCACATTATAACATATAACAGGCAGAGAATTATGGTATTGTCCTGTTCTCCGAGCCGAGCATTTTTGTTGCAGAGGTTTTGTTACCAAACTAGGCAACATCTTCAGTGCGGCTATCCAGTCTTGATTCGCGGAGTCTCGCAAACCAATGCCAGATCCGAATGACTATTGATGGTTGTCTGCTTCAAATGTCAGTCTTCGATCCGTTCACGTGAGTCAGTCGAGTGGGCACCTCTTCTCCTTATCGATCTGGTGCCTAATGCAGGCTTAACCTGCAGAGCTTCATAGACACCCTCCAGCTCCAGGTGTTTGTTGATTGAGTTCCGGCCAGAATGCCAAGCCTAGTTTGGTTACGAAACGTCTGCAAGAAAAATGCCCCGCTCGGAGAACAGGACAATCCTCTCATCCACACCCCGAGCTACAGGTATTAGCAATAATTTCCAATTATGATATCGTTTCCTGTTCTCCTTTATGGAAAGATAAATTGCTGCTTTTTACGGTTGGACAGTTGGTGAACCCGTGACTCCTGTGGTGGTGTTGGTAGTCTTACTTAGTCTGGCAGCTGGTGGGGCTACGATAGTAGATGCCTCTGCCATATGGGTAGCAACAACCGACGAGTTTGTTGTCGGCCGTTTAAAAGTGTACGACGTGGCTAGTGGTCCTGTTGAAAATGGTGGGACGAACGAAGCTTTTTGAGTAGTCTCTAGTGTTTATGTGGCTAACGCTTGATCTTTGTTCTTATTTTCAGTCAGACCACACTGTTCTGGTTTGGAGCTTGCTGTTGAGCATAGAGTTAGATACAGTGAATTTTTGTTTTCTGAGGGACAGATTTCACGGCTGCTGCTTGTTCTAAATCTTTGTCAGCCTGTAGCATTTTTGTGCCAAAAATATTATACATCTGACGAGTGGAAGAGAGGTACACTCCGCATATATCCAGAGGAAATCAGTCGTATCAATAAGTTCTATTATCTGGCTGAGAATAAGACGAGAACATAGAGGAGGTACCTATTGCCTACAATTTCTGCAAATGCTTTCAAAATGCACTAGTTTAACACAGTTTTTTGCGCCACAACAAGCGTTCATTTCAGAAGCTGTAGGCTTAGCTTTCCGTGTGCAAGCAGTACGTGCCATTGTGATGCATTTCTGCAGATGTCGTTCGTCGTAACTTAGACATTAGTAGACAGAGTCTAAAACGCTGTCGGTTAAACTGATGGTATAACAGACAACAGGGTAGATTGCTGTAAATCAAAGCCAAGATGGCGGACAAAGTCGGCGATTGGGCCAGTCATTAAGGTCTCTGAAGTTAACAGACAGTTCACACAACCATGCACAGGTGGTAAAGTACATCAAAAGGAACGCATTGGTGTAAATTTCATACCGAGAAAACACATACAACAGTTTAATTCTGACGAAAAATTGAATCCAACAAGGCAAAGTAAACATATGAAGAGCCTGCGGATAGAGCAAAAAGAAACGCGTGACAGACAATTGAACTTGTTTCGATCCTTATGTAAATTACACTAAATGCATTCAGCATACATTTAGCGTTTTCTGTTTTGATGCATTTCGGCTCAAATTATTACCCGATATCAACTAGATATTCTCTCCGAAACTGCGTTATATGTTGATTACAATCATTACCCCGAAGAGTCGCGAAGCATTGCGAGCCGGGAAGCAGTAAAGAGTAAGAATATATTAATTACTGTTAGTTCCTCCCAGCCTCCTACAAATGAGATAGTCCTTCATGTGATTCGACCCGTAGCGTACAGTCAGTAGTGCGCATCCATGGACTCCATCAGAATCTGAGCTCATATGCACAATTTGCTGAAACGATCAGCCAGTCCTTTATACCGAAAGATCACGCATGCCAGCAGTGGGCAATCACTAACCTGTAATGTAGCGCGCTTCATTCTCTGCTGCCATACACCAGGTATAGAACAGCGTTGGCTCTAAAGAAAATATCTTTCTTTGGTAGGAGATATCTAATACGCACTTAGAAACTGTTAGGGTTTACATTTTGACGTACTCACATGCGGATTTTGTTATGGATCACAAAGGATAAAAGCGTTTAAAACCGCTGCGGGGACTTGTGATTTTCCTACTCACCCTATTAATTGGAAGCATTTAAACCAGGTAAACATGGTCAGTGCAATAGAAGAAAATGATAGACTGAATAGCAATACTTTTTTTGTTAATGTCTGGCTGAACAGCTGTTCATTTTGATTATTTACCACTTGAACTTTTCTCCTATGCCTAATGAACTGCCAACGAAAAGCTCTGTTATCTGCAAGTATTTGTCAGGCAGTAGACTAAGGCTGTACATAATACGCTGTCATGGATGTCAATCAATTAATGTTCATTTTCTGTAGTATTGATGCAAAGCTTTTGGCTGAAATGTTTGTAGTTTATAATTTACTCACTTTAGAAGCAACTCCATTGCGTGTACGATTAACAGTACTAGATAAAAGTAAAAAATGCGCTAGGGTTGTGCTAATTATGTGTCGAGGGTTGAGGAACCGCGTGCAGTTTAGATTTAAATTTCGTATTTATAATTGGTCAGCCATAAATAAATCACATCGGCTAGGGAAGATCGTGTAGAACAGACAACTTTGATTTGCTTCTTTCAAGGTAACTGCATTGTTCCGTGGGGAAACATAGGTCTATTCTTTTGTTGCTGTATACCATCTAGCGTTATTCGTGTATGGATAGAGCATGCGCTTCATATATGAACAAAGAGAGCCTCTTTGAGAGGTTCTGAATAAGCTGATGCACTTTTTGCCATATCTGTTATACTACTCACGTATGCTGAAACGTGTAGGGACTGAATGACGAAGCCGTATAACACGTAGAGGGAAATGGGGAATATACGATTTTCTATCTAGAGTAAGAAAACTGTGAATATTACCACCTTTGCTTTCCATGACGTTAAAGTTGACATTATTGTACATTTACAACATAGCGTTCCTTGTTTCCGTTCCACGGATACAGAGCGGGATTTTCGAGCAGATGTTGCTAGGAGTGTTATCAAGTGGGAAGTAAAACCTGTTAATGATTTTGCTAAAAGCACAGTTTCTTACGGATTTATGCAAGTTGACGTGGCCTTTTACGTACAAATGAAGCAGCTGTAGTTCAAGACGACTTTTCCACTTAACCTCACTGTTAACAGCTTAGTTTTAAAAATTATGCTTTGATCATGGAGATAGCCAATATCTAAATAATGAGAGCGATGTTTATCTTACACCCCGAGTCATACTTTTGCTAGAACAGATCTACGATGTTTGTAGCCAAAGGCGTGGGCATACCGAACCATATATCCTTTGCAGAAGCGCCCCTATGTTTGAAGTAATAAGTTGATTTAGAATCCCAAAAAGCAAGTACTGCGGAACAATCGCAGCAATGCCACGGCAAGTGAATTAGTAAGCTGATTTAGAAATCCCAAAAGCAACTAATGCGCGAAATGTAGTTTAACATTTCACTAGGTGGGTCGCTTGTTAACTTTATATAACAACTAAATATACTTGATCAACGAGTTGTGAAGCAATATGTTAGTGTACTTGTTTACATAGTTGAACAAGGGCTGAGATGTGGCATTCTACCACTGAGCTGATGTGGTACTGGAAATCCCATTTGAAAATATTTAACAGAACGATGGGGTTGTTGTCGTAAGGAATTATATGAACAGATTAAGCAAGATAATTTAGTGGCTTTTTCCAAATGTGTGCGCTTCAAGCTTAAAAACGAACAGGGTTTTGATGAACCTTCTCTGTCAAAATACTAGCTTGTAGGCTAGTTATTTAGGTTAGAGGTGCGGAAAAGATTGCTGGTCTCCTTCCTCCTATAAAAATTCGTTTATTATTTTGCAGTTGTTTGTAACGAGTAATCAGATGGCATGTCGGTATGTTTAGTGGATCTTGCTTTAAAAATATGACAAAATTCGTTTCTCGTTCAAAGTAAGCACAAAGTGAAACAGCAATTTGTTCCGAACCTCATTCAAAACGACTTTGCTGCTTCGACGAACGAGCTCTAGTGGCAAGCATATGACACATAGTCCTATCAGCCCTGTCCTTAGCACAATTCATTTTCCCACACCAGTTAGCCAACAGATATGAATTCCCTTCTGAAATATTGTGCTGAACAGTTTCAGTGAATGTCCTACCAGTTCATTAATTATTCGTCTCGAGAACGTTGGTGTGATAACTTGCGCAACAATTAACAGTATCACAATCATAGTGTTCATTAGATATAAGCACTGTACGTTGCTGGACTTTATCTTGAAATCCAGATAGCAATTCAAATGCGAATACTAAATAAGCTTTTATATGCGCTGTTGTTCAAAACACTTATTGAGTTCAGATATGTTTCGGTAATTCCACATAAAATATTTAAAATTGCTTTGGGATATAAGTACGAAAACTCTAGGGTATGAATAAAAATTACTACTTGTAAACGGCTGGTGAGCGTATTCCAACTATAAGACCAGAACACGACCAGCATTCTGGATTGATTGTGTTGTATCACTTTGGATTTTCCAATGGGCTGTACATTTTAATGCATAGTATAATAGCAATTAGCTTGTTTATGGATTTTAATTATTGATCTACTAATACTTACGTTGTCTCTAGTCCATCTCGCAGACGTTGCCATCGCTTTGTTTCACAGATTGTCGCCATCTTGTTTTCGGACGTTCATAATTCGGAAGTACCTAACTTGTAAGTGAGTGGAGTCAGAAACTTGTGCGCAGGCCGGATCATGCTGCTGCATGCAGCTCCGTGTACCTGGCATTAGAAGTTGACCAATTGGCTCCTTGTATCAAGTCAACTTTCTAGATCGCCCCGATTTTACTAACTCTCACTTAGCCGGCAAATTTGTCAGCCTACAACCACACGTTGCGAAATGTTCACCATGTGGTGATTTAGGTATGCCGATATTTCGGCGTGTGAATAAAGGTCTACCAAAGACTAGTGTCAAAAAGGAATAAATACAGAGCAGAATGGGGTGAAAATGTGAACAAACAGACCTCGACTCGTTTATACTCTGCCAAAGACAACGAACCACGGCCGATGAGAAATCTTCAAATTCCGTGATCTTCCAATTCCCTGAGTGCAGGAAATTAGGTCATCAGATATGCTGGTGTCTGGGCCTAGAGCGCTACAATATTGCATTGAATAGGTTCTATGCTTAAGGGGGACGTACCTGAAAGTGATGTACATTATTTGTCCTGAAAAGCAATATGCTCAATAGATTCCCATTATGTGGGTCACTTTTGTGTAGGACATTAGCCCATGGCCGAATTTAACCGCCTAAGAATTCAGACGGGTTTGAAGATATATTTTCTTTTAGACCAAATCCAGTGAATCGAACCGCGCCCAAGCATGACTTCAATGAGCAAAAATGACATAGTCGCGTTAGAAAAACAAAACACCACTCCGTAAATGTTCTGCTATCCAATACATAAATAGGCCAAATAGTTGCTCGTATTCTAGACGGGGATTTGCGTGTAGTCTTTAATAACACCTTTAGTCTTGAGAACAAACGCGGTGGGTTTTATCGGTTCGTGACGTCTGAGTACTAGCATTTGATAGTATCACAGTCTAGTTGCGCTACGTGTGTTGCATTTGATATAATTCAGCTAGCGTGTAAAGTATCCCTGTATACCCGGTCTTCTCTGGTTGGATGATTGGTTATCGGTTTGATATTATAATATTCATGGACGGCGAGCTGCTATTGGAACTTGTTTAGCGATACCCCATGAGCAGACGCTTGGACCCTCGGTCTTATTTCCCAAAGACAAGTGGTTTACGTTTCCAACGCCTGGTTTATTTGCCATGCCCTCTTGTGCGCAAGCCTGGAGTTCATACCCATGACCGTACTTTTGTTACTGCCCATTCTGCTGCCACTACATGTTTACTGTTATTACATTTGTACGGTATATTTGTAGTCACAATGGATCGGAGCGACTAGAGCTACTGAACCAATGCAGTGATCGGATTACGGAGAAGCATTCCCCTTGGGAGGTACAAAGGAACTCACAGCAGGTACGCAACTATGTTCGGCTACTAGCCTGGTAAACATGTATATCTAGCCAAACGTGTTAGTCGTTTTTTGGACCCCAAGCAGAGAGCAGTGATGATCCAACCGAGACCAGCTCCGAAGTGTGGACCTTAGTTCCTCTCCACCAAGTCATCGCTTGGCTACCTCTCTTCCTCTTTTGCATCCAAACACAAAGCGAGCAAACAACACACGTCGCGGGAGGCGATAGGCTGGCATCTGTAACACGTGACCGAGCCATCCAAACTTAGTGCGTGAAATAACAGTGCTGAGCGTTTCATGTCCTTTTCCGTTGCCATAAACGAGGCTTCGAACATGCTCGTTGCTTACTCGATGTTCCCACCAGATGTGTGCCAAACTGCGAAGGCACCGGTGATCGAATGAGACTAGCCTCTTTATGTCCCTTGATCTAAAGGGCCAGCTTTTGCAGTCGTAAATGGGGTCGAAAATACCTCTGCATTATACACCCCACGATCAGGGCGAGAATGTTGTCGCGCCGGCGCCATAAGTGGCGAAGGCTGGCAAAAGCAATTCGACCTTGTGCTATAAGTTTCGTGATCTCATGTTCACTCCAAATGACGCTGATTATACTTCTACGATAGTCGAATATCTGAATCACTTCTAGTTGATCCCCATCAAGGGGCAGCGCAGGAAGTGATCCTAGCCAATCTGGCGGAAAGCTTTGTAATTCCATTGTGCAAAGATAGCCCAATGCGGCTGATATCCAGTGTTAAACTCTCCAGTGCAGTTTGACACGTCCGGAATATAAGCTATGTGATTTCCTCAAACCCAAAGTTGAAGGGCAGAAGTGACCTCAAGCATCCTTGTCTTACACCGCTGGAGATACTGAATGTCGGCGACAGCTCGCCGTAAGACTTTACTCCTCCTTTGTTACGCGCATGATGCTCCGATAATATTGACAAATTTCTTGAGCAGAGCTTTCCTGGGTAGACCGCCTCAATGCGCACATTGATCAACCAAATCCAAGGCACGTTTGATGTCGAGGAACACGACTACGTTGGGCCGCCAATATGCGTGACGGTGCTACAGCTACTGACTCAAACTGAAGGCGTGGTCGATGCGGTTACGATCTCAACAAAACCCGGCATGCTTCTCATGAACTTGGCTTTCATGAGTACCAGTCAGTCTGTGAGGGATTACAGGGGCAGGTAATTTAGAGGCGCAGAGGATTAGAATAATTCCTCTATGGTTGCTGCATTCCGAAGGCGCGCATCCTTTGAAGATCAGAACTATGACGGAGCGACCCATGTCAGTTGTTATAAATTACTGCTCCCACAGTTTCACTAATAATTCGTGTAAATCATCATGTAGAGCTGGGCCCTCAGATGTGTGGGGGACTGAATGTAGGAACCTGTTCGTCAACTTCCTCAGTTCGATCGCACTTTGAACTTCTGATCGAGAAGGCGGATCCAAAGAGACAATCCAGGGAGCAGGACGATCATTGGTTGGTGATAATTCTTACGATTCCGGCAGATTAAATGGCTTATCAAAATGCTCAGTCCAAGGCTCCAAAAGTTTTTACA